ACTACTACTACTACTACTACTAATACTACTACTAATATTACTTTTACTATTACAACTACTTTTACTACTACAACTACTACTACTACTACTACTACTACTACTACCACCACCACCACCACCACCACCACCACCACCACCACCACCACCACCACGACTACTACTACTACTACTACTACTACTACTACTACTACTACTACTACTACCACTACTACTACTACGACTACGACTACGACTACTTCTACTTCTACTTCTACTACTACTACTACTACTACTACTACTACTACTACGACTACTACTACTACTACTACTACTACTACTACTACTACTACGACTACCACTACGAGTACGATTACGACTACGATGTCGATTGCGACTACGACTACAAATGCGACTACCTGACTCCTGGTAAAAATTTCTCCGGCGGTACGATTCCACTTGAGAATCTAAATTACCTTTCGCTCTTTCCTCTTCGCCCAGGGGCGCGTAAACATGGATTACCGATCCATGGATTAGACGCGCGGTCGCCAAATCCATGCATCGGGGGGGGGCCATCCCAAAAATGTGGCCGGTGCCGCCCCGTTCGGCGGCGCAAATCTGCGATTTCCAATGGAAACGGGACCCGTCGCTAATCCACGCCCCCTTAATCCATGGTTGCGATCGTCTGATTCGCCTTGGCTTAAGCTTCCTGTCACGCCCTCAGTTGCGTCTCCTCCTCATCCTCCTTGGTTTCCGCGTCCTCCGTCTCCTTCTCCTGCTCGCCCTCTTTGTTCAATGTATCCTTTTTCTACTTCTCCTCCTCCCCCCCCCGCATGTCCATCCCGCCTGTTCTCATCATGCACCTCTCCTTCCTCCTGGCAGGGGGGCGCATGCCGATTATTCTCGGCGCCCTCGCCACCGCGCCCGGCAGGGGCGCATTCTCCGATGGCAAAAATCCCGAAGCCTTCGGGGCAACGGTCATTGGGACAACCCCGCGAGCCGTAGAGGCGCGAGAGACCGCTGGAGCCGAAAAGTGTCGACAAATACAGGTTTCCGATAACCCGCTCGGATTGCCAACATGAAATGCGGACCCCTTAGGGAGGGGGCTCCCGCCAGAGACTTCCTCGCAATTCACTCGCAGACGAAACTCCAACCTGAGACTTCCTATATGTTCAATCCAAAGTAGCCGAAAAGCGACGACAAATACAAGATTCCGATGGCCCACTCGGATTACCAACATGAAATGCGCACCCCACAGGGAGGGGGCTCCCGACTGAGACTTCCTCTCAATTAAATTGCAAACGAAGCTCCCGCCTGAGACTTCCTCCATATTCAAACCAAAGAAGCCAAAAGGTGACGACAACCTACAGGGTTCCGATGACCCGCTCGGATTACAAACATGAAGCGCAGACCCCTTATGGAGGGGGATCCCGCCTGAGACTTCCTCGCAATTCACTCGAAGACGAAGCTCCCGTCTGAGACTTCCTCCGTATTCAATCCAGAGGAGCCGGAAAGTGATGACAGTTACAAGAATACGATGGCCCGCTCGGATTACCAACATGAAGTGCGGACCCCATAGGCAGGGGCTCCCACCTGACACTTCCACAATTAACTTACAGACGAAGCTCCTTCTTGGTCGATGATCCGGATGGGATGGTGCTAGTGAGGAATGTGGGGTGATGGTGATGGTGATGGTGAGTGATGGTGAATAATGATGACGGGGTGGGAAAGAGGGTGTTCGTGGGTGTGCCAATGATTATGAATGAGTGTGTATGGGTTATGAATGCGTGTGTATGTGCTGTTGCTGCTGCTGCTGCTGCTGAGTGCGATAACGATTGTGACGGTGGTGGTGGTGAGGTGGGAGAGAGGGGGAGGGTGGAAGGTTCCTGCGCGGGGTGCCCAACGAAAACAAGAACCTCACTTAGGATATGGGGAAACAGTGTTAAGAATAACAGTGATGATAATAATAGTAAGTATTACGATAATAAGAACAATAATAATAAGAATAAGAAGAAGAAAAATAATAATAATAAGAAGAAGAAGAATAATAATACAAATAAGCCACCGTACCGCGAGCCACGGAGTGGGCGTGTCCTCAGGTCCTTTGCCCAATCCCCTGAGCTTCAGTCCTCGAATCCTCAGTCCTGTCCCGAGGAATCTTCTAGGGGCCAGGAACCGAAAGAAATCCATACGAAGCCCACTGAATTTTCAGAACCCGCACAGCCCTGGGACACTTCAAACACAGTGGGTCGAAACGTAACATTTGCACGGCGGAAGAGGCTAGGCTCAGAGCCCCTGGACATGCCCGACCTGGCCACTTGGGTGGCACGCAACTGATTGACTACTCAGGCTGAACCCGTGAACTGGCCACCCAAACCGCCTCCCTTGGCTCAGCCAGGAGGCGCGCGGGCGCCGCCCGTGGTCCCAGGCAGGGCCCGGGTGCTCATCGCGCAGCAGCGCCAGGCGATGCAGAGCAACGCAAAGCAATGCAATACGCTGCAAAGCAACGCGCAAGAGTGCAACGCAAGGCAACTCAAGGCAGTGCAACGCGAATGACCCCAGTGAAACGCAAAATGCCGGGCCTAACTCCAACGCGACGCCAGACCTCCCCTCATGCGGCTTCCAGCAGCTACCGCTTGACATGGCAGTGTTTTCCTTGCGGTCCCGAGGGGCACTCCAGTCCCAGGAATGACGCCGCCCCCGCACCGCCTGTGCCATTTAGTACCAGTATTTCCAAATCGGCCCAATTCCTCTGGGCAGTACAAGATGGTAGCTCACCTGAGCAACCTTATATAATGCAACTGATTAGTCAGATTATACATGAGATTCGACCGTATAATTTCCTTGCGCGACCCCTGCGCGCCCAACGGCGCAGATTCCTTTTGCATCACTCTTGACTTCGCATGGTTGCCCCGGCGGTCCTGAAGGGTACTCAAGTCTCAGGAATAACGCTCCCGCCCGCACCGCCTGCGTTATTGAGCACCCGTATTCCGAAATGCGTCCCCCGCCTCAGCCTCTTCTGGGCAGTAGAGATCTTCTAGTACGAGCAACAGCTTATGCTAGGAATTATTCGTACACAGTGCCTGGGAGCTTGGGAGCCTGAAAGCCTGGCGCTAAAAACCTCGACCCTGAAACCTGCGTACGACTCCCTGGGGGGCCCAGAGGCCCTGGGAAACTCTGAAGCAGTGGAAGGCCCTGAAAACCGAGAAGGCTCTGAGATCCTGGAGCCCGTGAGCGCACAACCCAAAAACCTCCCGAGGCCCCAAGACCCTGGCAGACCCGCGACCCTGGGAAGCAATGAGATCCTAATTAGACCCCCTGGGCCAACAGCCCCAGACATCCGCAGACCTCGAGGCCCTGGGAGGCCCTGGGAGACCCTGAGGGGCCTGTCAGCAGGCGCCCCACGGGAAGCAGTGAGGGGGGCCCTGTACGCATGAAAGACGCATGGTGGAGGACTATACTCGAGGGGGGTCCTCTCAGAAATCTCCCTGGATTCTTCGGGAACCCTCCCGAATCCTCACGAACCCTTGCAGAAATGGCAGACATCCTTCAGGAATCGTCAGGAATCCTTCAGAAATTCTTCAGAAATCTTCGGAATCCTTATGAATTGAAGCCGAAAAATCTTTCAGGAATCCCTCTGGAATCTTTCAGGAATCCTCTAGGAGTCTTCAGAAATCCTTTACGAATCATCAGGGACCCTGCAGGAATCCTCTTGAATCCTCCGGAGCCTCCAGAATCCTGCAGGCATCCAGCAGGAATCCTCAGGAGTCCTGCGGGAATCCGCAGGAGTCCTTCAACAATCGCATTGAAATCCTCAGGAATCCTGAGTGAACCATCAGGGATCCTCAGATAATCCTGCAAGAAGCCTGCAATAATCGACCTGAAGCCTATTGGTCTCTACTTGAAATCATAGGATTGATCTCTGTGGGATCCCGCACTGAGGTTCCTGGGGCCCGAATATCATTTTCAGGGGTGATGTACTTCCTCCGAGAAGGTGGGGAGGAGGGGGGGGTCGACAGTGTGTTCCGAGGGTTAATCGGTAGCCCCGTCGAGGGGGAGGAACCTCTGGGGCCGCCTTGGGGCCTCCATGGGCCCCCTTCGGGCGTCGAGACGGGCCGAGAACGGCGTCAAGCAGGCCCGAGAGCGCCCCAAGACGGCCTCGAAGCCACCCCAGGCGGACCCCACCAAAGTGATTGATTCCACTAGGCCCCGAGGACCCACGGATGGTCCGAAGAGGCCTCAGGAGAGCCAGCGGGGAGCCGCAGAGCGCTTCGGCAGGGCTCCAAGAGAAGCGCGCAGTCTACGACCTCTCGCGGGGTCTCGTTGGGCCTCCAGCCCGCGACCTCTGTGCAAGCATGCACCCTGCCCGAGGAGCCCCTCCCTGGGGGACACGTGCCCTCTGGAGCCGACCTTGTGGGATGCACAGAGACATACTAATACTATGTGTCCGCCTTGGAGGCGCGCGTCCGACCCGAACATATAGTATACCCATCTTGTAGTATATCGTTTCTCGAGCGGTGTGGCCAGAAAGCGCCCGCCACGACGCATATACTATAAGATTTCTCGTTTCGCGCGTCGCCTCTGGGGGGGCGACGAACACATAGTAGAAGTATGTTGGGGGGACGCCGACCCTGGGCCGTCTTGGGCGCACCCCGGCCTCCACCCAGCTCCCCTCTCCCCCCGTCGCCAGCCGGGGCAGCGGTCCCGGGGGGCTCCGGCCCCGCTCCCCGGCGATCCGATACGTGTGTTGCCCTCCTCCTCCTCCTCCTCCTCCTCCTCCTCCTCCTCCTCCTCCTCCTCCTCCTCACCCTCTCACCCTCCTCCTCCTCCTCACCCTCCTCCTCCTCCTCCTCACCCTCCTCCTCCTCCTCCTTCTCCTCCTCCTCCTCCTCCTCCTCCTCCTCCTGTCCGCATCTCCCCCCTCACAGCCCCTCAGAGTCATCCGGCAAGCGTGCACACATTCCTCTCCACTCCGCATCCCGCCAGAGTAGCCGCCGTGGGAGGGTCAACACGGGCCGGGGCACTCGAGGTGGAGGCACGACGGGTCGCCGAGGTTCAGTAGGCGCTCGCCTTGGCAGCCACGGGGGAGCGCGTGCGCCCACGAGTGGATAAACGTCGATCCTGGATAGGGCACGGCGTACCGAACCTGGCAGTGGGCTCGCAACGAGTGGGCACCAACTGGCCACAGCTCGCCCGTGACTTCTCCGAGACGTCTGCCCTTCAGCCGGTTGGTTTCTGCCCCAAAGCAAAACGTTTTGCACAACTCCTCCCTGTCCACGCCCCAAAGCACATGTCATTCGGGCCTCCCATATGAAACTACAGGGCAATGTTTAATACATAGGATTGTTGTTTATGTTGGATCATTAATACATGATTAATTCGTGAATAAATTTATAAATGAACTCATCGTTGTTATTAATACTCAACTCCTGCATGTTTAATACATGATCCGCACGCGGAGCATGTATCAAAAACGGCACTCTACATGGTAAAACTACATCCCCGGTGGCCCGTCGAACACTCCCCAGGGATTCCAAGGCCCACCCCAAGTTGCCCCCTTCGCGTCAGGCACGGGCGCCGAACAGCTGGCGCGTGGGCGAGTGGCGAGGGCGGGTCCCCTGTAGGCCCCAGAGGGGTCGTTGGAATGGGACGCGTTGTGAGGCCTGCGTAGCGGATCCGACATCCAAAGGAACTGATCCTTAGTCGTATGGCAAGTCGTATGGCAACCGCTGCCACACTATCAGGCCTGAGAGCGCTCATCAACCTGCATGCCTCAAAATGCAACAACATGACAACCAACTGGATGTGCTTTGGCGAGCGGGCGAAAAACTGTGATGCACCAGGACAGTGAAAGCAAGGGGGGAGACACGGACAGAGAGGGGATACAAGAAGGAAGAAAGGAGGGAGGATGGGAACAAGAGAAATAGACATGGGAAGAAGACAGAAAGCAGAAAAAAGATATGCTTCATTGAGCCGCTGCTGTCGCTTCTGATGGCTGAGCCCGTGCTGAGTGCTGTCACGGCATTGCGACTGCCGCTGCCTCTGTACAGCGGCTGCAGCTGCTGGTGCTGAAGCTGAGCTGAAAAAGGGTGCTGAAGCTGACGCCGCTGCAGCTGCTGTTGGTACTGTTGCCGCTGCTGCTGCTGGTGCTGCTGTTGCTGCATTGGTACTGCTGCGCTGTCGATGCTGGAAGTGCCAACCTCCGCTGCTGCAGCTGCTTCTGATGCTGGCGCCAGTGCTGACTGCGCTGGTTTGGGACCCACCCCCTTGCCGCAACCAGCTAATGCCCTCTGGATAAATCGTGCGGTCCAGTCAAGTACAAGATAAAACGAGGCCGATTGGAAGATCGAACACCTTCCCTCGCAATCCGTTCAGATTCCAGGCACGGTGGCGCCTGAGCGAGGCTCGAGCGGAACATCCACTGGACCGCGACCATCAGGAGGAAGTTGCTCCGCTGGAGGGCCACAGCTGGGCGGAGTGGGCGGGCAATTCTAAAATTCATCGCCTCACCTCACCATGAGAAGATGGATCAGCTGGGCACCGTCTGGTGCAAAATTGCGAGAGCTCTCGGATACTTCCGATCAGATCATAAAAGTTGCTCAACAATGTCACGCCTCCCTGTCTTCGGGCCCAGGCTGGTGGATCGTTAAGGAGATCCTACCAGCCCCTTGGGTTGAAGTAGGCGGTCTAGATACAGGTTGGGGCTCGACCACAAGAAATCTTCCACTAGAAGCCCACCCCTAACACCCCAGGACGTCTATCGATTTTTGGTGTGAGAGCGCCGCGCTTTCCATGGCAGCACCCCCGAAACCCAAGCAGCCCAGGGCACCCTGTAGGCAAGCAGGGCGTTTCTTGGCATGGGCCCCCGTTGTAAATCCCACCAGGCCCTTCGGGTTCAGGCGGTCTAGTTCGCTTCCTTTCCTAGCTATCCCCTTCCCCGTCGAAGCCACCCCACGCCAGAAGACTTCGGGCTTCTTAGGGGGGCATCTTTGAAGGGGCCCTGGGAAACACAAAGAAATAGACACAAACAACAGGATGTCCCATATTTTCACATATTTTCTTAGTTTCTATCTTCCCCCCCACTTCCTATATTTCGCATATTTCCCTGGGAATCGACGATCTGTGTGTTTTTTCCCTCCTGAATCTTGGGAGCTCTCGGGGCCCTCTTGTGGCCTCTAAGGGGGCCTCGTGGGAGACTCTCGGGCGCCTCTGAGGATCGTCTGTGGGCGTCTTGGAAGCGCGTTGGGGGCCTCCGGGAGCCTCGCGGGCAGTCTTGGTGCCAAGGGCGCGTTCCTGTGTTGGCCTCTCCGAGATTTGGAGCGGTTCGGGGCCCGCTTGGGCCACTGCTTGGCGCCTCGTAGGTTCCTCGTGGGCGCTCTTGGAGCTGCCGTAGGCCTCCCGAAGGTCCCTCCCGACCCTCCCTTGAGCCATATACAGAGGCCATCTTGAGGCCCAGAGAGCCCATCGGGAGCGAGAAGGTAGCTGCACACATCTGTTCTAAACAGGTGCGTTGAAAAGTAGCTTCGCCGCTCGAGGACCGCCTGGGGGCGTCTGGGAGGCTTCCTTGTCTGGTGTTGCCTCGTGTTGTGTTCGTCCTGCGCTGCCTTGTTGCCCATTCTGGGGACCTTCCTGGAGCCACTCGCTCCACTCGTGCGTCGAACCTGAGTCGAACCTGAGTCGAACCTGAGTCGATCCTGAGTCGAACCTGAGTCGAACCTGAGTCGAACCTGAGTCGAACCTGAGTCGAACAGATCCACTAGGTGGGCCCCAGGAAGGTCCCCAAGACGAGCATCGAACCCGAGGGCCCCTGCAGGCCTCCTCGGGGCCATGGGCGCCGCCCCTGCCCCAGGATGGCCCCAAGGCCTGCGGGAGGGGCCCAGAGGCGATCCCCGAAGGCCTCCAACAGCTGCCCCCTTGGCGCGCAGTCGTCAGGAGGCGCCCTGATCGAAGGCGCCGCGGCAGCTGTCACGGTTTGCGGTAGGGGCTCGACCACAAGAAGCCCTCCGCAAGAAACCCAGCCCTGGACCCCCAGGACGTCCACGGATGTTCTGGTGTAGGAACGTCGCGCTGTCCATGGCAGAACCACTGAAACCCAAGAAACCCAGGGCACCCTGGAGGCAAGCAGAGAGCTTCTTGGCATGAACTTCCACTGTACTCCAGGCGATGCCCAGGCTGGTCCCGAGCTTCGGTCTGGCGGCTTCGCCCCCACCCCCTCCAGGCTCCACTGTACGCCCCCCCACCCCCCATGAGGCCTCTGCTGTGAAAGGGTGATCTGACCTCCCAGGCAGTCTCGCAGTGCCAGAGCCTGATGGAACTGCTAAGAAAAGAACGGCTCGGGCCGCATGCAGATGCAAAGAGGAGGCTCGAAACGTATTCGCCCCAGGGTCACCAGCCAGTACGTACGAGGCATACCGCCGTCTGCCCGCGTCGAGGGCGGTGACCAGCCAGATCTACCCTTCCCCCGCTTAGACACGAGCCAAGAGGTCAGGGCGGACTTGGCAGTCGAAGACGGCGAGGAAAGGGGCCTCGGAATAGAACACACTGACGTCGTCTCCGGCCGTCAGGAAGGAGAGGAGGATGACAAGGCAAGATCCGATCGGAACACAGTGTCAGCAGAATCAAACAGCGATCTGAATCTCTTGGATGCGCGTGAAGCGCCTACAAACCCCTACCGGTAGAAGGACGTCCTTCTGGCCGACAGCAGGACAGCTTCCCGTGAGCGGCAGCTGAAGGTAGAGGATGTGAGCAGAAAACGCTCCAAATCGCCCAAGGGTGAGCTAGAGCCTGACCACGAAACCGACACAGGGAGAGAAGGGAGGAGGAGCTGCGGGAGTTTAGGGCGCAACGCTGCCTCGCCTGCAATTCATACGTACTAAGGACTAATAAAGGACGAGGGGGAGGAGGAGGAGGAGGAGGAGGAGGAGGAGGAGGAGGAGGAGGAGGAGGAGGACGAAGAGGTGGACGAAGAGGTGGATGAAAAGGACAAGACTGGAAGGTGGGGAGGCAAAGGATGAGGAACGAGAGGAAAAAGACAAGGAGGAGGCGGAGGCGGAAAGTACGGAAGAGGTCAACTAAGAGGGAGAGGACGGGTGTGAAAGGAGGATGCAGAGGAACAGGAAGGCGAGGAGGAGGAGGGGGGGAAGGCGAGAAGAGGAGAAGAACAAGGAGGTCGGGCGGACGGAACGCCTGCCTGGCCGTGTCCCCCGAGACGCGGTGGATGTCACTGATAGAGAGCAACGCTTTACGAACTGATAATGACCACCGTTCCGCCGTTTCTGCACCAAGTGAGCCTATGGGACCTCAGACTTGTCCCAAGATGCCAACCGAGCACCAATCGGGGAGACGTAAGACTCGGGTACGGGGGACTCGGGTTGGCTTGACGGGGGCCACCATAAAAATGACGAGACCCAATCTGAAATCTGACGCGAGCCCCCGCTGCAGACATCCCACGAAAACTAGACCGTCAAAATCCAGGACGCGCTCGTCAAAAAACGTCGGCAAACCCGAGTTTCCGGCTTACTCGAGTTTTCTGTCTCCCCGAACCAAGACGGCCCAAAGTTCCCCAACGGAGACCCACGAGAGTCCCAAAGGCTCCCCGAGGAGCCCAGCCTCAAAAGAGCTCTGGAGGCCTCAAGGGAGGCCCGCTATAGTTCTGGGAGGCCTGCACGAGGCTCCCAGCTGGACCCAAATTGGCAAGGTTGGGTTGCTGCTTAGGTTGGGGTCAGTTGGCTTGACTGTTATCTGTTTTCTTGTTGCATTCATCTTTTCACATAAGGCCGCCTAGGAATCGCATCCACCTGGATGAAAAGGGGATACGCGAAGCATCAATAATATCGCCCACGGCGCTCTGATTTCAAAGAAAAGACATGACTTGGACATGTGGATCCCCAGCATAACAGGGACAGGTTCCAGCACTGAAACGTGTTTCGTGGCCCAATGTGCCCACTACGACCAAGAACATCTGCATTGGAAACAAACAAAAAACCCGCCTGCAATCGTGTGGAGGATGACAGCGGGTTGAAATGAACAGCGATGGAGTCTGCCTGAAGCGGCGAATGCTTTACCTCTCACATGCGGAACATATTCGCACACGCTTCCTTGCGCCAACGGAAATATGAATAGGAGTCGCTTTGAAATACCCCTGCATGCTCAACGAATTCACGATTTGACAAACGCCACGCACTGCTGAGCACCAGCCAAGTAGGTATCACAACAATACGTATCGTTGGCATTTCGTGCGTGACCACAAATGCACGCACATGACACCATCTGAGAGGGTGCGACGAGGATACGCGAATTGCCAAGCAAGAATGTCCTCAGTGTCCTGCCTTGCCCTCTGTCCCATCCCCATTGCCGTCCCCCATGCCCGACGGAAAGCCAGCAGACAGATGTACTCTTGATATTTGATTACATGAGAAATGCTTACCCTGTCTCCCAGTGGGAGACTTGTTTGTCACGGCGACGGGGTCGGGTGATATTTCTGACCGCCCCTGATAGCACATACGTAGGCGAGTGGGAACTTGATCGGGCTGGCGTTTCACAGGACGTCTGGCCTCCCGTGCCATGGGGTCAAAGAAGACAATGCAACCGCCACCGTACCGATAATGCCAGGGATGTCGCGTGTTGGGGATATGTTTCTCCACCCTGGGATTATCATTATCACACAACGTCCGGGCGCCCCTGGAGAAGAACTGCTGGCACGCGCTAAAAGGTTGATGTTTGCCGTCAATCCACCACCGCGTCGTAGGCACCGAGTAATTTTGCAAGTGCTCCCTAAGTGCCCCACCCCCGAAACTCGCTGCATTTCTGGGCGCTTCTGGGCGCTAGCATTACGTTCCTGAACGTATCGAGAGCGCAGTTTGGCGTCGCAATCTCCAACACGCCCTAGGATGGTTCCACGAATCTGTGATACCCCCAAAGGTATACATACATGGATTCCCCAACATAGTTTGCACTTAGGGTTTTATACTTCTGTTCTAAGGAACTAGGCCGGTGTGGCGGTCTGGCGGCAATGTTGTCGCCGTCGCCGTCGCCGCCTCGTCGCCGCCCGTCGTCTGGGCCGGGGCCCTGATCAAGTCAATTCGCCCATGAGGCCCCAAACAGCCTCCAGATGCTCCCAAAAGCCTTCCAGGAGGCCCCCGAGAAGCACCCCAGAAGTCCCTGAGATGCATCCAATAATCTCCTGACCCAAGATATAAGTTCCATGATCGTCTCAAACACCCACTCCTTTATAGGAGTCGGCGGAATGGCGCAAGCCACTTGAATCATAGATTGTCCTTGGCCTCTCGAAGGCTTCCCTGGAGCTCTTGGGGGGCTCTTGGAAGCCTTTGGGGGCGATCTCGGGTGCTCTTGGGGGGGTTCAGAACCATTCAGGAGCGGCTGGGACAACCTTGAAACATTCTTAGGCTGTCTCGGTGGCGTCCTGGGACGTGTTGAAGCTCTCTGGGGGCTCTCTTGGACGCCCAAGACGGTGGTGCTGGGGATTTTCCCAGATGGTTGAGAAGTCGGAGGGGCCCTGGGGTGCCGGATTTGCTTGTATCATTCATATATACACATACGCACATACATGCAAAAACAACATACAAACATACATACATACAGACAGACAGACATACATACATACATATATACATACATACATAAATACATACATGCATGCATGCATGCATGCATGCATACATACATACATACACACATACACACACATACACACATACATGCATACATACATGCATGCATGCATGCATGCAGACATACAGACAGACATACTTCCATATGTACAGACATACAGAGTGACAGAAAGACAGACAGGCAGGCAGACAGACAGACAGACAAAGAGACTGACAAACAGACCGACAGACAGACAAACATATGGTGCACTCTATGTGGTGCAAATCACCCATGCCCGCAATGATTTGTCAATTCCACTGCTGGCACAATCATCCCACCTATCCCCCCGCAACTTCCTTTGCAAAACCCATGCGACGGCGGTTGCGATCACTGCTTGGCGATGGTTGGTGCATCCCTGCGGCCGCGTCAACCCGCGCATGCTCGCGCGCGCAGCGGCCAGCTAATGCGGCGCGACAAACGGGTCCGCGGTGGCGCTGACCGTTGGGCACTGCCCAGCGGGCACTCCAGTGCGAGTCGGTAGCTTGGGCGGACGCGGTATCACCGCGACGCCGACAACGGTAGACACGATGATGGGAGTAACGAGGATGGTGGCGATGACGACGGAAAGACCAATGACGGCGCCAATGTTGATCACGCCCGCCGATAACGATGACGACGTCCTCCGTCGGTGATGAAAATTTGGACGGCGTTCGACATGCGCGCGCGGCCGACGCGTGCGAGTGGCCCTCGTGGTATTATTTGTCACGGATCGTGTCCCCCCCCCCACCCCAGAACGCGCGCAAAGGCGCTCGGATGAGTTCGACATACGGCGCGGGATGCCCGTTCGGCAAAATGCGATGACAACGTTGAACAACTTACGGTTGTGTTTCAAAGAATTGGCAAGAGCGGGCGCGCAGGCTTTGTTAAAAACAGACGTTGTAAACATCAAGTGCTTTGTATGTTTTCGGAACACTCGTGTTTGAAATCCTTGCGAAACCTGCAGCTGTTAACAAATTTCGGCATGCGCGCGCGTCGACGCGCGCGCACGTCGTCCCATTTGTTGCACGGAGCTGCGCGGCAGCACGCACGCACGGGCATTCGAACGATTTCGACACGCGCGCGCGAAAGGCCTGTGTGGTACCATGTTAAGAACATGCTGAACAGCCGATGGTTACCCTAAAGAATTCGCAAGAGCGCGAGCGACAATTTGTTTTGAACGTCCTCGCTGCGAAGCCACATGTCTTTACATGCTTCCGGGACACTCAATTTTGAAATCCCTACGGAACCTGAGGTTGTTGTAGGATTTCGGCATGCGCGCGCGACGACGCGCGCGTGTGCACTTCGTCCCGTGTGTTGCAAAAGCGCTTGAAAAATATTGATGTTTAATAAACGGGCGCGCGCTCATAGCATTCATTGCAGAGGATGAGGGGGGAACCGTTACCGGTATGGCCGGGGTGATATGAATTCATATGTGGGATGCACGATGGGGCCCAATGTGTAAAATGCAATACGAAAAAATGAACGTCAAGTCCAGGGGGTAGATCCTAATTCTCTCTGAGGAAGGAACATGAATTTCTGTTCGCAATGCGTTGTCCACTCCACTGCTCGCACAATCATCCCACCCATCCGCCCGCAACTTCTTTTGCAAAACCCATGCGACGGCGGTTGCGACGAGTGCATGGAATTCGCTGGTGCATCTCTGCGGCCGCGCTAGCCGCGCATGCTCGCGCACGAGCAGCGGCCAGCTAGCGCGGCGGGGCAGACGCGGCCGAGGTGGCGCTGACCGCTGCGCACTCCCAGCGGGCACTCCTGTGCGAGTCGGCAACTTGGGCGGGCGCGGTATCATGGCAACGTCGGTAACTGCAAATGCGACTGGTGACGATGGTGGCAACGACGACGGCAAGGCCAGTGACGGCGCCGATGCTGATCACGCGCACGCGGCCGACGCGCAACAGTGGCCCTCGCGGTGTTCTTTGAAACGGATCGTGCCCCCACACCCACCCCCAGCACGCGTGCAAGGGCGTTCGGGCGAGTGATTTCGACGTGCGGCGCGAAGGGCCTGTTTGGCAGAATATACTGCAAATGTAAAAAGGACTGGTGTTCCTAAGAATTCGCAGGAGCGCGAGCGCAGGCCTTGCTTGAAAACTGATGTTGCAAAGCCATGGATTGTTGTGTTTTCGGGACGCTCGGTGTTGAAATCCTTACCAAACCTATGGCGTTTGAAGGATTGCGGCATGCGCGTGCGACGACGCGCGCGCGCGTGCACTTCGCCTCGCGTTTTGCCAAGAATTCGTGCGACAACAGGCGCGCAATGGCGCTCGGGCGATTCCGACATGCGCTGATGAGGGGCCCGTCCGTTAGCACCTTCTGAAGAAGATGAAAACCTGTCTGGTTTTCTGAAGGATTCGCCACGGCCCGAGCGCAATGTGTTTGAACATTCGTATTGCAAAACCATGTGGTCTATTCGTGTTCGGGACATTCGGTTTTGAAATCCTTGCGATGACATCGGTGTTTGAAGGGTTTCGGCATGCGCGCGACGACGCGCGCGTGTGCACTTCGTCCCATCTGGTGCAAGGGAATTCTAAAAACTACTGAGTTTTGATCAGCGAATGCGCGCGCATCACACTTGTTGTTGAGGGTGAAGGGAAGAATGCTGGCCTGCCTGGGATGGAATGAGATCATATTTAAGATGGACAATGGGGCAAACCCATACGCAACTTGCACCACGAACAGCGGGATCCGTTACGCCCGGGGGAGGGCGTAGATCCTACTACTCTTTTAGACATGCAAGGAGAATCTATGTGAGCAGCGACGAGGCGGCGACGGCAATAACATAGACGCCAGACCGCCACCCAGGCACAGACGACGGGCGGCGACGAGGCGACGACAGAGCGGCGACGGCGGCCACATAGCCGCCAGACCGAAGACACAGCCCAGACGACGGGCAGCGACGAGGCGGCGACGGGGCGGCCACGGCGAGTACATAACTGATAGACCAAGGTTCAGGCCCAGACGCAGGCGGCGACGAGGCGGCGACGGGGCGGCGACGTCGAGTACACTGCTGCCAGACCAAGCTTCAGGCCCAGATACTTAGAGGACAAGGAAGAGAACCCTGAGTGCAAGCACTGCTTGGGGAGTAGTATATATATAGCCACATGCGTACATGCATACGTGCATATATGCGTACATGCATACATACATACATGTATACATGCATGCATGCATGCATGCGTGCGTGCATGCATGCATACAAACATACATACATAGTCTCGTAAAGGAAATTGATTGCTATATTTTTGACAAGGGCCACGAGGAGGATCCTACAGTGGCGGCGAGGTTTTCCCCGAGGAGGCCCAGAAGAATGAAACGCTGGGAGGGCATCGGTATCGTTGTGCCCTTCCCGACGCCCTCAGTGGAATTTGAAGGCAGGACGGCTAAAAGCGAGCCAGCTTGCCATAATGACTTCTTTAAATACAGCGTGATTCAATCGAGACGTCTCTCAGGATGTCAGAAGGTCAATCGGAGATCCTCTAAGGATCTCTCAGAGGTCCACTAAGGATTTTCCATCCCCGAAGGATCTCTCAGAGACCATCAAACAATCTCTCAGATACTTCTCGAAGCGGTTTGGATTGGCGTCAAAAATGGTTGGGATTGGTTCTGAACGATTACAATCCGCACCAATTGGTTGAAATTTGTCCCATTTCTGAGTCATGACCCCACGCCTTACACCGAAGAGGGGGAGTACGTTTCATAACACCCCCTCACCCTTTTGACCCTGGGGGGTCGTACCCCCCCCCCTGCTCAAACGCACGTGAAAAACGCTCCCTCATCATGACTCACCTCATACTCCTCCTCCCCCTTCCTCGATTCCTCCTTCCCCTGGTTTTAATCGTCGTCCTCCTCCTCCTCCTCCTCCTCCTCCTCCTCCTCCTCCTCCTCCTCCTCCTCCTCCTCCTCCTCCTCCTCCTCCTCCTCCTCATTGTTACCGTTATCCTCGTCTCCATCCTCCGTCTCCAACTATACATTGCTGCTCCTCCTCGCTCTACTCAAGATCCGCCGACCCCCTGGGGTCACGGCGTGTGAGGTGCGTCCCCCTCCCCAAACCCCTCCCCCAGAAGCCCGGTCCGGCCGGTTTAGAGGGAGGGGGGGGCAAAGGTGTCAGCCGCACCCTTGGAGCCTCAGGGGAGCCCAAAACAGGCCAAGAGGGCCCCGGACGGTCCAAGAGGGCTACGAGACGCCGAAAAATCGGTCCAAGACGCCCAAGATCGCCTCCAGATGGTCCCAGAGGCCCGCAAGACGCCCCAAGAAGCCACCAAGAGGCGTCCCCAGAGGCCCCCCAGAAGCAAAAATCGTCCCATTCCCTAGGGAAAACGTATATGTTTAGCACATTCGCCTCTTGGGCTTTCACGAGGCCCACAACGGCCCAAGAAGCCTTTCAGATCCACCCAAGATAGCCCAAGAGGCCCCCAAGAGGGCTCCAAGACGGCCCAAGAGGGCCTCAAGACGGCCCCAGAAGCTTTCAAAATGACCCAGGAGGGCCCCAGGACGGCCCCAAGAGGAGGCCCAGAGGGGGAACCCGAATGAACATTTCGAGCACTCGGACCCGAAAAACCTGAGGAGGCGCCAAACGGCCCCCAAGAAGCTCCCACGAGGCCCCCGAAAGGCCCAAGAGAGGCTCCTAGAGGCCTCAAAACGGCTCCCAAGAGGCCTCAAAAGTGCTGCCAGAAGAGCCCAGAGAAGCCCAAGAGCAGAGCGGCGATCCGCCAACCGCCCCCGACCAAATCCCAAGAAGCCTGAACCCCAAGATTCCCCAGAAATCGTTCCGCGAACTCCGTTTGTCACCCTTACTGCCGCTCCACGGGGTCGACGGTGCGGCGTCAGCCAATGAATCGAAGGATTGCAAAAAAACCCTTCGGTTTTTCTGCAATCCTTTAACCAAGGGTTTTTTCTGCAATCCTTTAAAATCCAAGGGTTTTTTTTTGCAATCATTTAACCAAGGGTTTTTGCAATCCTTCGGTTGTTTTGCAATCCTCATCGTACTATTGTGTCTTCGTCGTAACCTGAACCCTCTGCGAACTTGCGCAATAGAGAGAAAAACAGGAGGGCGCGCCCGCAGTGCGGCCCCGGGCGGCGGACGAAGTCGTCGTTGCCGTGCTCCGACTGGAGCCGGGAGAGGTGGCACGCAAGGGGGAAGGGGAGGCTGAGGGAGGGGAGAGGAGCGAAGATGAGGAGGGAGGAGGGAAGAGGGAGGAGGGAAGAGGGAGGAGAAAGGAGGGCTGAGGGAGGAGTGAAGATGAGGAGGGAGGGGGAAGAGGAGGCTGAGGGAGGAGGGAAGAGGGAGGGGAAAGCAGGAGGGATGGGGGACGGAGGTGGAGGGGGGTGGCGGGGGAGGACACCGACGAGGACGAGTGAAGGAGCCGATAAAAGCTTCCCAAGAACACGCCAGAAAATGGGTGCTCATGAGATGGCAGCCTGACGCGGCGGACTGGGCTCTTCTACTTCGCCCACGACGCCAAGCGTCTGTGCGGAGCCAGGGGAATACAAAGGTTCACGGGACTTCACTGCGTCCGTGGCCGTCTTGCCTGGATTGAGCGCAGGCACTAGACGCTCGCCGCGGTTACCTGGCAGGATGTCGACTGGGTCACGCAGCTGCAAAGGCTCACTGAAGGAGACTCTCGATACTGCTTCAACACATCGGCCTATGCGACCCTGCAGGAAGCCGTGACATCGAGGTAAATCTGACGGCCGTTGAATTCGTGCTCCCTGTGGCATTCTTTGGAATCCCACCCCCTCTCCGCGCGGATCACCGGCTAGGAGACCCTCGAGCGCATCTGCAAGCTTTCAGTCGAGGCCCCCACTACGCAGCATGTCACGGCGGGCCTTCCCCTCGGCGGCGCAGACCTGAAGGTAGGCAAGGTTACGGTGGTCAGATGCGCCGCGGGCGGCATTTCAGAACTCTTCCTTCCGCTCCTTGAGCTGCGAGAACGAAAATGATCAGGCAAGGATCTGGAAAGCTTCAGCATCTCCCGCACTTCTGTTGCGAGCACCGCATTGCAGTAGTCTGCCATCAGGGGTGTAATGTTATGCAAAGCCTGACGGCTGATTTCCGAGCAAGGGGGAGTGGAGTGGGAGGTTGGATGGTGGAACTAGCCAAGGCGTTTGCCTCTGTGAGCTGGTTGGCTTGAACCTCAGAGGTCCTGGCGATGCATCGAGCTCCCTGTGGGCCTCTTCAGGCCCTGGAGCGTCCCGAGTTGCAGGGATACGGGCCACAGGGCTATACACCCCCCTCGATCTTGTTCTGACACCTAGGACTGTCCCTTCGTGCTGACGCGCGCCGTGAAGGCCCGTCTTGGGCTACTGGTCCCATTTTGAAGCTACCAACAGCGTTTGTCAGTCCATACGCGCTTCACTAGAGTGAGCGATCAGCCAGTGGAAGGGGCAGATCGTGCCTTGCCTCGTCTCCTCTCCTCCTCATCCTCCTCCCTCGGCGGCCCTCGCCCTGGTGTGCCGCCGAGCATCTTATTAAAGGGGGGTGAGGACCGCGGACATTCCCGCCCCAGAAGTCCCCCGTCCCCCGCTGGGTGAGTGGCTCTAGCGCAGCCAGGCTGCCTCCGAACCTCAGCCCGCATGCACGTGTGCGTGCAACCTGGCTGGCGTCGTGAAGCTCGGCCCAAGCACAGCCTGCATACTCTTGCTGGGCTGGTCCTCCCCATCCCACCCTGGCCCTACACCGTGCACCACCTCCTGAGCAGACCCTCCCTGGGGAAGGCTCGGAACGGAACGGAACGGAACGCCTGTGCGGGCATGCGCCAGGGCCCCTAAGGGCGAGGCGGGTGAGGCCATGGCCTCGCATGAGAAGCTGCGCGCGTCGGGGGTCTACTCAGGACAATGCGTACTTCAGGATCTCGAACTGGGGAAGGCTCCTCATCCTCACAGATGTCTCGAGATGCCTGAGGGGTCTGGAAGGCCCCCGGAGGCTTCGAGAGAAGCGGAACGAAGGCCAGAATCGTGCGCGCTCCGTGTCGGGGGCCCCACCGTGCCGGAATTTTGGGGCATGCATGGCACGGAGGCCGCGGTGTCGACAACGTGCTGCGCAGGCGGACCCACGTGGAAGCCATCGTGCAGCGCTCCCGGCGGCGGATGACCACCGCGAGCCCTCTGTGCCGCTGTGATCGTGCTGTCGTAACTTCGGCCCCTGCCCGAATCTGGTCTTTCCCTGCGTCGGCTTCGCAGCAGAGCCCGCCCAAGCTGCGGCTGCTCGGGGGGAGCCCTGGCAGTCAGGGTGAGCAGCAGCACAGGCCCCACGACGCCCTCCCTGCAAGTGCCTTTGGAGCTGATGACCGGACACCAAGCTGGACCTGGAGCGTCTTGAACAACCAGGGCGACCGGCACTTCCCGAGCTCGTGCCCCAGAGGCCGGCCTTCGGACCCCAGGGGGCCACTAAAGCCAGCCCGTGGCGCGAAATCCGTGCTGCCAAGAAGGGCCAATATCTTTGGACAACCACGCACCCGTCGGTCGGAAGAAGCAGGTAGAAACATGAAGTAGGAAGGCGTTGAAAATAGGTTGGGCCCCGTCCGCCCCCTAAGAAGGACGGAAACGGTGAAGCCACTCGATCACTGGCCATCGCTCGGACGTCCATTTCCTGTGTTTTTTCGGTTTCGTGCGTGGCTTTTTCGCCAAATGATCAAGGATGCTCCTCGATGGTCCTCGTCGAAGGAAAAATGCGCACGTCCGAGCGATGCCAAAATCATTGAGATAGGAAGGCGCTTAAAGCGGACCGGAACCCGGGAATCTAAAAATATCTATTCGTTCAACGACCGACGGGCATTGGACGGACAACTCGCCCTCGCTCGCCACGGAGGCGCAGGCCAGCGAGGCGCACCCGGCCCGTCGAGGGGGGGGGGGAGCAGCACAGCGCGACGCGGCCCCATAACGCAACACGCCTGCGACCCTTCGCGCCGTCCTCACGAGCAGGTTACGAACAAGTCCCACGCGAGAGCGCGAGCTGTGTATGAGTTGCGAGGAGGTCCCGCGCGAGCGCGCGATTTTGGAATACGTTGTGAGGGAGCATCATGTGGGAGCCGTCGTTGCTGTAACTTGGGGGGCGGGGGTCCAGCTTGGCGACCCCTCACGTTCCCCTGTTAAAAGCAGGGTGCGAGCCCCGAGAAGAGCACTTTAATTGAAAAACGCAATGTGCCCCGGAGGGGGGATCAACAATAATAAGCATTCAGAAATGAGAGTTCAACAACAAGGCAAAACAACCTGCTGGTGTACCCGGAGCCGGTCCACCAGTTCGCTGTTTTGCTCCATGTAGCGAAACAACCCACTGGTGTACCAGGACCCCCCCCCCCCCCCCCCCCCGCAACGCAACGCAACGCAACGCAACACGGCTGTATGAGCAGCCTCTGTTGCGTTGTGTTCCGTTGCGCGGGCAGGTGGGGGGTGTGTGACCCTACGGGAGCTCCCACTGTATGGGATCCCCTACGGATCCTATACGGACTGTATAGGATCCCATACGGATCCTATACGGACTGTATCTCTCTCTATCTCTCTCTCTATGGAACCCTGTACGGGTCCTATGAGAGTCCGATGGAACTATGGGAGTCCATGGAACCCTGTCGGAGTCCTATGAAGCCCTGTAGGGGTCCTATGGGAGTCCTATGAAGCCCTGTAGGGGTCCTATGGGAGTCCTATGGAACCCTGTCGGGGTTCCATGGGAGTCTTCAGGAACCCTGTCTGGGTCGTATGGGAGTCCTATGAAACCCTGTAGGGGTCCTATGGGAGTCCCATGGAACCCTGTAGGGGTCCTATAGGAGTCCAATGGAACCCTACACGGGTCCTATGGGAATCCGATGGAACCCTGTAGGGGTCCTATGGGGGTCCGATCCAACCCTGTGCGGCTCCTACAAAAGTCCAATGGAACCCTGTACGGGTCCTATAGGAATCCTATGGAACCGTGTAGGGGTCCTATAGGAATCCTATGGAACCCTGTAGGGGTCCTGTGGGAGCCCTATAGAACCCTGTACGGGTCCCTGTACGCCCCGCGGGGGGGCGCGCGGGGAGAGCGTTGCGTTGCGTTGCGCTGCGTTGCGCGGGGGGGGGGGGGGGGGAGGGGGCGGTCCGCCAGCTAGTGGTTTCGTCAACAAGGCAAAAACAACAACAACAACAACAACAACAACAACAACAACAACAACAACAACAACAACAACAATCATTTTACCCGAACGCTCAGTGTTCTCACCAGTGCCAGGGTTTTCATGCGACGCGAGACAATACCCCCACTTCGTGGGGGGGCAGTTCAAGCTCTACCAAATATCCAAACGACTCTTCGCGACCACCCAAACCCAGCTTCCCGCCCTATGACGTTGGGACACTTCACTTCGTGGCGTGCGGACGACCGTGGCTACTACACTGGCGTGGGGTACACACCCACAGAACTTGGTCACTTATTCGGGGCGCGCGTGTGCCCAGCATCCTGCAATTGTGACATACAATACATGACACAGACAGACAGAGAGAGAGACAGAGAGCAGACAGAGAGAGAGACAGAGAGAGCGGAGTTGGTCACATTTTTGGGGCAAGTTCCTGAGATCGTCGTGTTTTTTGTTGGTCTTGCGCGCGCGAATGTCCACTTTACTTTTTTTTGCAAGGGAGTATTGAAATTTGATTATGTTAGAACAAGAAAAAGTAGCTCGCGCGAGCTCATGTAACATAAATGTTGAAAAACCAGAGTCGGACAGCGCGCGCGGAATGAAATTTGGACATTTTTTTTTGAAAAACCAGTGGGTTTTTGATGTTTTTATGTTGAAATCGCTACGAAACCTAAGGTTCTGGAAGGATTTCGTCTTGCGCGCGCGAATGTCCACTTTACCTTATTTTTTGCAAGGGATTATTGAAATTTGATTATGTTAGAACAAGAAAAAGTAGCTCGCGCGAGCTCATGTAACATAAATGTTGAAAAACCATTGGTTTTGTGGGATTCGGACAGCGCGCGCGGAAGGACATTTTGACAATTTTTTCTTAAAAAACCATTGGGTTTTTGATGTTTTTATGTTAAAATCGTTACGAAACCTAAGGTTTTGGAAGGATTTCGTCTTGCGCGCACGAATGTCCACTTTACCTTATTTTTTGCAAGGGATTCTTGCAATTTGATCAAGTAA